GACCGAGAGGTCAATCGACGGATTTGACTCGGCTGGGCAGCGTTTGGGAAATTACGACACATCTTCTCGTCAGGTATACCTCAAACTCTGAAAACTAGGTTGTACAACCAGTGCGTGTTGCCAGTGATGACTTACGGATCTGAGACGCACTGCTGGCCGTATGAGGACGCTCAAGGTTGCTCAGCGAGCTATGGAGAGGGCTATGCTCGGAGTTTCTCTGCGTGATAGACTCAGAAATGAGGATATCCACAGTAAAACCAGAATGACCGACATAGCCCAACAGATAGAGAGGTAAGCTCAGAGGTAAGATGAAGTGGCAATGGCCCGGCTATATAGCTCGAAGAACCGATAACCGATGGTGAAGAAAGGTTCTTGAGTGGCAGTCTCATACTGGTAGGCGTAGTGCAGGGTGACTCCCACTAGATGGAGTGACGACCTGGTAAGACATGCAGGAAGTCGAAGGATGCAGGTGGCTCAGGACCGTGCCTTGTGGCATTACTTGGGGGAGGCCTATGCTCAGCAGTGGATTTTTGATTGGCTGTAATGATGATGATGAAGAGATTTAGTCGCCCCCAGTCCGAGACTTTGTTCAACATAGTTTCGACTTCAGACACAAGTTTGTCCCGGTACTCTGCGACGTTTTCCCGGGAAATATTGGCACGGATGATGTATAAAGCATCACCAGTGCTGTCATCTGCATAGCAATGAATGTTACCGGTTTCCAACATGTTATTGATATGCAGAAGAAACAACGTTGGTGATTGTGGAACCTTGTGTAACATCAGCGTTAATGGGCTTGTAATCGGAACATGCACCGTCTACTACGATCTTGATGCTCCGATCAGCAAGAAAACTGGTGATCCAATTGCACAATTTCTCGGGAAGCCCATAGGAAGGAAGCTTCGTAAGAAGGGCTTTGTGCCAAACCCGATCGAAGGCCTTCGCAATGTCCAAACTAACGGCCATCGCCTCCCCTTGGACTCTACTGCCTTTGCCCATTTATGAGTTAGGTAACCCAGAACATCACCAGCCGAGCCACCGCGACGGAAATCTTATTGGCGGTCACAAATGAACTAGTGATCTTCGAGATACCGCATCAGCTGAATGTTAATAATGGATTTAGACATTATTTTGGAGAACAAGTAGGTGATGGTGATAGGCCGTTAGGTGGACGGATCAGAGCGGTTACCGTTTTTAGGGATCGTGTGCACGAGGGCTGTCTTCCATGATTTAGGGACTACGCCGAGGGAGTAGGAGTACCGGAAAATACGCGTTAAACTGGTGCCAACTCCGGAGCACACCTCTTCAGCACAATAGGAGGGACGCCATCCGGCCCACTCGACTTGTTGACGTCCAGGAAGAGGAGTGCTCCGCGCACTGAACGTTGGGTAAACAGGACATCCTGCATGGAGCAACCACTCCACGGGATGGTCGGCGGTGTGTTCCCCCGTCATCAAGAGCCGAATGGGACACAAAGAGAGAGCCCAGCAGATCGGCTTTGTCCTTTGCGGCATGGGCTAGTGGGTTGTCCTCCTTGTGCAGAGATGGGAGAGATGGCTGACAGAAGTTCCCTTGGACAGCCTTGGCGAGAGACCAGAATGCACGTGTTCCCGAAAGAAGACGAACTAGTTTCTCGCCAATTCTGCCGATGTGCTCTGACTTTGCCTTGACAATAACACTTTTGAAGGACCTGAAGGCAGAATTGTACTTCTTTTTAAGAGCACTGGTATTTGCATTGTATCATTGCTCTGTAACATTCGGAAATGGACCGGGATAAAGAAATTGGAAGATCTGATCAGACTAGCCCTGAACAAAGAAGAATTTAGGAGGATAACTGCCGTAGTGCAATTTTGCAAGAGCGACCAAACCAAGGCTGGGTTCTGGCTCCGATACAACAGGTACCGATAGGTACCACAGATGATGGAATAAAAAGTTTTTTTTAATAGAAGAGGGGGCAAACGAGCATGCGGCTCACCTGACCTGGTTAAGTGACTACCGCCGCCCATGATCAACCGCAACACCAGAGGAAATGCACGTGCGTTGCCGGCCCTTTAGAAAGGAGTAAGCTCTTTTCTCGAAGGTCCCCAGGACGTATCGGTCCAGAAAAATCGCCGGTGGTAAACTATTTCTTAATATTTACAGAGAGGTCGTACGCGAAAGAAAACTCCTTGTGAAACGTACAGTGGTGGACCGCCAAGCATCCAGATGGTGTGGATGGTATCGGGACGTTTGCCGCGTAGTGCGTTCACGTAATTTGGCGGCTGGGATTAATCCGAACAATTCCTCAGAGCACTCCCCATGGTATATGCGAAAGAAAATGCAAAGAGATGCAACATTTCTTCGCAGCGCCAGTGAATTGAGCCAATTTCCAGTTCCGTTCCCTGTAGCACCACATCAGCGACAGAATCAGCAACATCGCTGGGATCATCCGAGAAGCAAACCCGCCTCCAAGGGTAGGATGCAAAAAAAAATCGCATCCCATCCCAATCTGCTGACCTATAATGCCAAACACGGCGGCAACCTGCAGTACGCAACCGCGATGAGAGCGTGAGTGGCACCGGACTCCAGATCAGACAATGGTCCGAGGAGCCAAGAGGGCCATAGACGGAGACCGGATATCCGTCCAGATGAGAGGTCAGCAGAAGGTCCAACAGGGAAGGTACGTGGTCTTCCACATCTGGAATTTGTGTAGGCGAGGTAACCAGTTGTGTTAGACCATATGCCAAAGGGAAGTCATAAACAGATCTACCCGCATGATCGGTTAAACGAGAACCAAGCCATTCAGCGTGGTGGGCGTTAAAATCACCAAGTATCACGATCTCTGCGGATGGGATCTATTGTAGCACGGAGTCTGTAGCCATCTGGACGTGGTCGATGAGTCGATCTGTTTCGGCATTACCGTTATGGAGATACCCGTAGACGCACCCGTAGACGCGGGGATGGTCGTTGCTGACTACGCGCAGCCATAAGATGGACAGGTTCGTAACTTCAAGGCTGCCGAGGCGTCGAAAACAGATGTCCTCTTTGACATACACGCAAACTCCCGCCCGGGGCAAAAATGAGTGTTCTCATATGTACCCCGGGTAGAAGAGATACGAAGTATTAGCCGGAGAGGACACCTATATCTCGGTTGGAAAGAGCAAGACCGGCTTCGCCGTTTTCAGATGGCAGTGGACGGCGTTAAGATTTAAATGAAGTCCCCTGATGTTGCAGAAATTCACGGATAGCGTGGCAGGAGGCGCCCTTGACTTATGCTCCGTTTGCACCGAGCAGGTTTAGTCACGAGCAAAATATTGCCCCCCACCCCCGGAATACGCGGGACAGCCTGAGCACCCACACTCAGGAGTGGAGTAGCTTGGTCCTGGGTACCAGCACCCCTGGAGAATCAGTAGATTCTCCAGGGGTGCTGGTTCCCTCCTGGGGTAGTCTTGCATTTAATTCCGCTACCATGTTATGGTGGGAGTGGGAATTGGGCCTCCAACCACCTGCACTCATCAGACGAAATGCATAAGCAAAGCCTCTACTTCACGCTGGTATTCTGTGAGGTCGTGGTACCGTTACTACGCGTACGCGTTAATGTTGGTGCTACACTAATGGAAAACGTCAATGCCTATAAACAAACAAATGTAACGCGATAAAGTTGGCTACACTTGAGCACTCCACGTCATTAAATTTCAATGCCATTGAACGGCGTTAAAGTTGGCGTTAATGTTCCTTGAAGACTTTTTATATTTCTTAAAAATGGTTCTATAAAAACCTATTAGGTTTTCCTTCGCCTTTCTAATTCTTCGATAGTTGTATTAAAAGATAATAATTGGATAATTCGTCGCAAAGCATCATCTTACGCTGTACGATTCTTAAGACTTTTGAGTCTCGAATCCCACAAACATGGCTCTGTTTGCAGAATCTTAAGAAACGTAATAACTTTTTTATTATTACTCTCCATCATAACCATACGTACGTGTAATATGTAAATTGGTGCAATTTAAAGGTTTGTATAGGATCAGAAAGGTGAGATCATGACAGTCACCTAGGTCTTTATGAGCCCTTTCAAATTAGTTCAAACACGATCGTCCTATCTAGTGGTGTCACTGAGATCCTATACCTTCGGAGTCCACCATCAGCTAGGTAATATAATCATAATCATCTAGGTCTTCATGAACCTTTTTGAAAATGAGTTGAAAAAAAACACGATGGTTCTACGTAGCATCACTAAGATCCTTTACCCATCTTCTGAGGAGATACCTGATCTCCTTCATCATCATCTTCAGTCACCTTAACATTCATCCTCCGTCAAACGAAATTCTATAAATATATAAAATAATAAAATTCTAAATAGCATATAAATAATATATGTAGCTTCTAAGAAAGTAACCAGTAATTAAAACGAACTGAAGCCAGCGGATTACGGCGCGCCCGGAGTTCTCGGAGACTCCACGGAGTTGAGTGCCATCAGTTGAAAATTTCAACTTAAGATTTCGCACACACGATCAGTTTTTGGATTTACTGATCATTTTAACTGACCGTTATGGACATAAGAAGAACAACAATGTTATCAGTTAACATAATGTGACCTACCGTCAGGTGAGCTCCATGCTCGATATAGATATGTAATACATATCTCGTGCTAAGAACCGGGTGGTAAGGCACCTTTTCTGACTAGAAGACTGCCGTCAAACAGTAGTGCGTGCACGCGCACTGCAGTGTTCCAGTTTGAAGGGTATAAACACTAGTATAATAACGAGCTGTAAGGCAATCTTAGGCACCTTAGTCCTCAGAGGTGACAACGCCTATGTAGGCTTTTTTGTTTGAAGATGGCTGCAGGTGTTCATGGGCTGCAAGTGTCCATGGGCTGCAGGTGTTCATAGGCTGCAGGTGTTCATGGGCTGCAGGTGTTCATGGGCTGCAGGTGTTCATGGGCTGCAGGTGTTCATTAGCTGCAGGTGCTCATGGTCTGTAGGAGTTTATATGCTGCAGGTGTTCATGGGCTTCAGGTGTTCATGGGCTGCAGGCGTTCATGGGATGCAGATGTTCATGGGCTGCAGGTGTTCATGGGCTGCAGGTATTCATGCGCTGCATGCGTTCATGGGCTGCAGGCGTTCATGGTTTGCAGATGTTCATGGGCACCAGACGTTCATGGGCTGCAGGTGTTCATTGACTGCAGGTGTTCATGGACTGCAGGTGTTCATTTGCTGCATTTGTTCATTGGCTGCAGGTGTTCATTGGCTGCAAGCGTTCATGGACTGCAGGTGTTCATTTGCTGCATTTGGTCATGGGCTGCAGGTGTTCATGGGCCGCAAGTGCTCATGGGCTGCAAGTGTTCTTGGGCTGCAGGTGTTCTTGGGCTGCATGTGTTCATGGGCTGCAGGTGTTACTGGGCTGCAGGTGTTACTGGGCTGCAGGTGGGTCATGGGATGCAGGTGTTCATGGGCTGCGGGTGTTCATGGGCTGCAGGCGTTCATGGAGTTCAGGCGTTCATGGGCTGCAGGTGTTCATTTGCTCCATTTGGGGTTCGTGGGCTGCAGGTGTTCATGGGCTGCAGGTGTTCATGGAATGCAGTACCATGTTACCAGTACCATCAGGTGGATTGGAAGATCGCTTGTCCTTTAAGTTTTGTTAAAAAACGCAATTTAAAACTCTTCGTGTTTCATCGGTACATGAAAATACCATTATAGCATATTTCATGTGGAAATGAATATTATAATGAAACAAAATAATTATTTTAACAAAATCACAGGCATGAAGGCAGAGATTATTTTGCATACATAATTATCTGCAAATGCTATCAACGTTTCATTGTTTTATTCTTTTACAGAGGTTGCTTGTTAATAGTAAGGCGCCCGTCTCAGAGTGTCGTCTCAAGCTAAAATTGGCGGTTTATCAATTTGTAATTTCTAACGTTATATTTTTTGAATTACTTTCAGATATAGTTCCGACTTTCGATATGCCAATTGTTAATATCAAACAAGGTGATTTGAAAGGTGTGCAGTGTATAACTGATGAGGTGGAATATTTTGCGTTCAAAGGTATTCCGTACGCAAAACCACCGATTGGACGATTAAGATTCAAGGTGAGTGAATATCAATGAGCAAGTGAAGTTAGTTGCACGTGTTTACATTAAGTATTATCTATAGTCACTAAATATTTGTAACATGTAGTTTAAAAACGACAAAAGTATTTAGCTCCGCTCGCCTTTCTTCCTATTGATCATCTTGAGAAAATTTAAACTTTTTAATTCAACATATTTTGAAATAAAAGGTCACCATAATCGCTCATCAAACAGAACAATGATGTAATTACAAAAAAGGTGAAATTTACATTTTTATGTTACAAGTTCCCGTTGCGGAAGTTCTCTTTATAAATAAAACGATAGAATTGTTCTTACAGTACTCGTAGTTTTCAATAGAGGGCGTGAATGACGTTTATATTTTCAATTCCAAGCCTCCTGAAAAATATCGAAAACGTAATTACGTCGTTGTTCTGTTGGATGAGCGATTATAATGTAATAAAGACTTATCTTTGCTTGTAAAATTCTTATCGTTAATCCGATATTTTTTTTGCGCCCGAAGAAAATATGGGCAACCCTCCGGAAAGCGGGGGAGGGAGGTTGAGAATGCTCATAGTATACCACGCAGCCAGCTGCGTGGTTATGTGGTGACTTTTACCCAGTAAACTTAACCTTTTAGGAATTGGCTTAACGATCTGACTAGAGATCTCTAAGCCGTTTACGAACGCGACCCTCCTTGGCAGAAAGGAGGGCGCAGCTTACTCCGATATCAAAAGTATCAAATGAGTAGGCGTAACAAGTATCCTCAACAACTAAAATAAAATAAATTAAATTAAAACTAAGCAAAATTAAACGTTTAAATTAGAGAAAAGCAAATTCGACTACAAACTCCTTACGATGCGTGTGTCCCGAAGATGATGCATAGACGTAGTATTCTGAGGATCTATCAACACTATCCTCAGTGAGGATATTACGATTAGTATAGTGATGGTTGACGATACTATCCTCTTAGTAATATCTATCCATATGACTTATTCGTTTATAGCTCAAAGTGGTGCTAAATTCTCAAAATAAATTATTCAATTTTTGAGACCTGTTTATTAGCATTTTCATAGGTTCTCGGTGTGTGAGACTGTGTGACCTCGGAAATTATAAAATTATATGCGCGCTCAAAGATATTTTACCGATAAAACATCCTTGATGCGCGCTATTTTCCGCTTACTATGTCAATTTAAATTGTATGTACATACAAGTATGGTGACATCTAACATTTATCAGAATATACTATTATTTTCATCTTGTATCATTACTAAAATAACTATAATATAATTGTAATGGCTAATTTATTGTTGTTTATTTAATATTAGAGTGAGAAACGAGCTATTAGTACCCCGATAGTACGTGACTACTGAAGCCCATAAGTACCTCCAATTTCAAACAACTTCAAAGAAAGAAGGTAACTAATATTGTCATCCTAGAGCAGTGCTGGCAAACCTTTTCGAGAGGTCGGTCAAAATTAGTTGAAACATCTGTGAGCGCGATTTGGCAGTAAATCTGACACGTATGACGTGACGGCACGGGCAAACGCCAAGGCCACTAAGACTCTCCCTAATGCCATCATACCCGTCTCTCACCACCGCTCTCGTCTTCCTTGTAGGTGCGTGCGCGAATACTATACACATATACAGTATATATACCACATATTAAATAATAGTACTACCTCAGATTAAATAATTGGTATTACGTAATTATACTTCGATGCTTCTCTGTGAGTTGTGTACTACGCGCGCCGCTTCATTCTCTATTCGATTATAGTATACTTAATTAACTCGTTCACCGCTTGTATACACACTTTGTATTTCTTTATAATATTTTACTAAATATAAATTCTACCATCAAATATGATGTTTCACACTTGCCGGGCGTCCCGTGACGGCAATTTTTTTGTGACGTCACTTGGAAAAGGAGAGGGGAGGATTATTAAATTGAATAAGGTAATTGTTAAAAAAATATCGGCGTGAAGTGGAAGCTCTGTTTCCGCATTTCGTCTGGTGAGTGAAGGTGGCTGAAGGCCCAATCCCCCCCCCCTCCTTAACTTGGTATCCTTGGCAATTTTAACGCCCACCACGCCGAGTGGCTTGGTTCACGTTTAACCGAACTTGCGAGGAGATCTGTTTCCTGTTCTGATGTTTTGATCTCGGTTGCCTTGGCATATGGTCTGACACAACTGGTTACTTCGCCTACGCGGATTCCAGATGTGGAGGACCATAAACCTTCTCTGTTAGACCTTCTGCTGACCTCTCATCCGGACGGATATTAAATTTCCGTCGACGCACTTTTAGGCTCCTCAGACCATTGACTTGTCCGGAGTGTGGTGCTAAAACTCTACTCACGCTAAAATCGCGGTTGTATTCTGCAGGCTGCCGCCGTATTTGGCACTATAGGTTAGCCAATTGGGATAGAATGCGGTCTTTCTTTGCATCCTATCTTTAGGGGCGGGTTTGCTTCTCACCGGATGATCCCAACGTTGTTGCTGATTCTGTCGCTGATGTGGTACTTCAGGGTATGGAACTTTTTATTCCTTCCTCCATGGTGCCCATCGGAGGCAAATCTCAGCCGTGATTTGGTCGCTCCTGTAAAATAGCATCATGCTATAAGCAGGAGTGCTACCAAGCCTGAGCTGACGCGTCAACGTCCCTGGATGTAAAAACCAGCGCTCTAAAAAAGAAGTGTATTTCCACCTCCAGGTTTTTCAAAAGAGTCATTGCCAAGGCAAAGTCAGAGCACATAGGCAGAATTGGCGAGAAACTAGTTCACCTTCCTTCTGGAATCCATGCATTCTGGTCTCTCGCCAAGGCTGTCCAGGGGAATTTCTGTCAGCCATCTCTTCCATCTCTGCATAGGGAGGACGACTTACTGGCCCCTCTTGATGACGGGGGGAGTACGCCGCCGACCATCCCGCGGTGTGAGTGCTTCATGCCGGAGGTGCGGTTTACACAGCGCTCGGTTCGCAAAGCACTCCTCTCCCTGGACATCCACAAGTCGAGTGGTCAGGACGGTATCCCCCCCAATTGTGCTGAGGACGTGTGCTCCAGAGTTGGCACCGGTCTTAACGCGTCTTTTCCGGTACTCCTACTCTCTAGGCGTAGTCCCAAAATCATGGAAGACGGCTTTCGTCCACCCGATCCCTAAAAAAGGCGACCGCTCAGACCCTACCAGCTACAGGCCCATCGCCATCACCTCCTTGTTCTCCAAAACAATGGAATCCATTGTAAACTGCCAGCTCATGAGGTACCTTGAGAATCACCAGCTGATTAGTGATCGCCAATACGGTTTCCGTCGTGGTCGATCAGCTGGTGATCTTCTGGTTTATCTGACTCATAGATGGGCGGCGGCAGTAGAGTCCAAGGGGGAAGCATTGGCCGTTAGTTTGGACATTGCGAAGGCCTTCGATCGGGTTTGGCACAGAGCACTTCTTTCGAAGCTCCCTTCCTATGGGCTTCCCGAGAATTTGCGCAATTGGATCACCAGCTTTCTTGCAGATCAGAGCATCAAGGACGTTCTAGACGGTGCAAGCTCCGATTACAAGCCTATTAATTCTGATGTTCCACAAGGCAGCGTGCTATCACCAACGCTGTTTCTTCTGTATATCAATGATAGGTTGCAAACTTGCAAACCTGTAACATTCATTGCTATACAGATGACTGGTGATGCTCTGAACACCGGCCATGCCAAAATTTCTCGGGAAAACGTCTCCGAGTACCGGGACAAACTTGTGTCTGAAGTGGAGTCTTTGCAGAACAAAGTCTCTGATTGGGGGCGACTAAATCTAGTCCAGTTCAACCCTCAGAAGGCACAAGTTTGCGCGTTAACCGCTAAGAACAACCCGTTTGTCGTATCTTCTCACTTTCAAGGCACTCCCCTTGTTGCCTCAGCCAGTACCGGAATCCAAGGTGTCGACATATTGAGTCACGTGCAGTTTCGTGGTCACTTGGAAGAGGCCACATTGGGTTCTAAAAAGCTTGGCGTGCTCAGCAGAGCGGGACAGTATTTCATGCCGGCACACCGCCTGCAACTTTACAAGGCCCAGGTTCGGCCGCACATGGAATACTGTTCCCATCTCTGGGCGGGGGCTTCTCATTATCAGTTCCTTGCACTTGACCGCATCCAGCGCAGAGTGACTCGAATCGTCGACGACCGAGTGCTTTCCGATCGGCTTGATTCACTAGCGCTGCGTAGAGATGTTGCATCTTTTTGCGTATTTTATCGCATCTATCACTGGGAGTGCTCTGAGGAATTGTTCGGATTAATGCCAGCCGTCAAATTTCATGAACGCACTACGCGTCTAACCTACCGATACCATCCACACCATCTGGATGCTTGGCGGTCCACCACTGTACGTTTAACTAGAAGTTTTCTTCCGCGTACGACCTCCCTCTGGAATATTTTACCACTGGCGATTTTTCCGGACCGATACGATCTGGGGACCTTCAAGAAAAGAGCTTACTCCTTTGTAAAGGGCCGGCAACGCACCTGCAATTACCCTGGTGTTGCGGTTGTTCATGGGCTGCGGTAGTCACTTAACATCAGGTGAACAGTATGATCGTTTGCCCCCTCTCCTATTAAAAAAAAAACAAGTATAAAATACGAGTTGCCCTGCATTGAGTATTTGAACGTATGAGTAACATGTTTTATAAAATGTCCAATATAAACATACTCAAAAAGCCTGCATGAGTCGGTGTTTAAACCCCCCCCCCCCCCCGGTCATAGGTTCGCCTGCTTTTCGCGGATGACATGAAAGTTTTTAGAGTAGTCAACAACTCTTATGATTCAAATCTCCTACAAAACGATCTTATTAACTTAGATAATTATTGTATCCGTAGCAAATTAGACTTGAATGTTTCGAAGTGTAATACTATGTGTTTCGGGCGGAAGCGTGATATGTATTTTTCTTACACACTTAAAGGTTTGACAGTTACTAGATGTGATAAAATAAGGGACCTTGGAGTTACTATTGATACTAAGCTTTTGTTTGATCAGCATGTGGAAGATATCGTTAATAAAGCATATAAGGCTCTGGGTTTTATTTTAAGGTCTTGTTGCAAATTCCGTCAGTTAAAATCAATGAAAATATTGTTTTGTTCTCTTGTTCGTAGCCATCTCGAATATGCGTGTCAAGTATGGAATACTCAATATAAAATATATATTAACAAAATCGAAGAGATTCAAAAAAATTCATTCGATATGTGGGTTCTAAATTTCATATATCCAAAGGAGGCTACGAATTGCAGTGTTCTCATCTTCATCTCCTCCCGCTGCAAACTAGGCGCTATACAGCTGACCTGGTCTTACTAAGTAAAATTGCTCAAGATCGTTTAGACTGCCCTGACTTATTAAAAAGATTACATATCTCAGTTCCCTCTCGTTCACTGCGCTATTACAATCCCTTACATGTTTGTATATGTAGATCAAATTACAGGCGAAACTCATTCTTCTTAAGAGCATGTAACTCATTTAATAAATTTTCTAAGGACTGTAATAAGGCTGACCTCTTTTCTACTAGTGGTACTACTATCTGCGAATTGATAACATCTGAATTCAGTAGCAATATACTCTTGAACTCTTAAATCTAATCAACGTCAATGTATAAATTATGTCTACTTATATATGTTGCATGTATTTACCCAAAGCGATTACTCACCTGTGCAAAACTTTTAATAGGCTTACTTTGTAAATTATATTATATACCATATAGTATTAATTAAAAGCTGTAAGTTTTCCTGTTATACATAAATAAATAAAGTTCGCTGCGGCGCTAAAATAATAGATACGTCGTCTAACCAAACTATTAAAACATGCAGCGCTAGTTTGCATTAGGGATTAGTTTTCTCGCGACCAAAACGTCATAAGTGCCAGGAATTTTATGATGCTTACGCGTATCGTTCAACGTAGTGTACAACTAGTCGCTCCCGTAGACTTTACATTTTGCCCGATTCTCGTGAGCATTGTAACAACGCGAAACACTTTAAATCAAAGAGATTTAAACGTTTTAATCTATTTACCGACAAAATGTTAAACCATCATTTTTTTTGATGTTCTGGAGTGTTTACTGCAGTCTTTAAGAACACAACCAGGCATTTTGAAGTTGCTATTTATGTGAAGCGAACACGACTCGTCTGTGCGGGCGTTGGACAATCGCTAAACAGTTGCAGTACAGTGTACCGCAAAGCGTGGTGCAAAATCATGCAAGGCGTTGTGTTCTCTATATGTAGTGGTAATAGCTCAATGTGGTTCTCTTACCTTTCAAATTACGAGATGCTCCTTGGTAGGATAAGAGTAGATTGTGTGGTGCCTATCCTAGGCAAAAAAAGAAGCCCGTCCCTTAATAAAGTTTATGAAATATAATTCCAAAAGTTTCTTTCTACAACACCTATTATCTTAAAAAGTTGATACGTCGTGATGTTTGTTATTGTCAACAGACTTTAAAAAAAGGAGAATTTGTTTTATGTGTCTAGGTGAACCTTTGACTTTTTTCTTTTCTTGAACAGATTTTCATGATTCTGAAACCTGATGCTTCTATGTGTAGTAGTTTTTGAGTTATCCTTAATAATACCTGTTTAGTTGACTTCGCCTACATTGATGATGTTCTCATTATATTTATATTAAGTCAGTTGTACAATTTTTATATTTTACCACTTGTTTTTATTATTATTCTCACTAAAATGGTAGTTAATGTTTTACAATTGTTCATCATAGTCTTTTATACTAAATTTTATACAGGCTCCAGAACCGCCGGAGTCATGGTGTGGCTTGCGAGATGCATCACAGCATGGACCTGTTTGTCCACAATATAACGAACGTATGAACCGCTTCGAAGCTGGAAGTGAGGATTGCCTGTACATAAACGTATATTCCAAATCTCTATCACCTGCTTGCCCGCTCCCCGTACTCGTCTGGATCCACGGTGGAGGATTTTATACGGGCTCTGGCGACTCTGATTTCTACGGCCCGGAGTTTTTCATGGCCCATGACGTCGTCCTAGTCACGTTTAACTACAGACTAGAAGTATTAGGCTTTCTATGTCTTGACAACGAAGATGTTCCTGGTAACGCCGGTATGAAGGATCAGGTAGCTGCTTTGAAATGGGTTAAAAATAACATATCTGTTTTTGGTGGCGATTCCAACAACATCACAATATTCGGATGTAGCGCTGGATCGGCATCCGCATCGTACCATTTGATATCAAAAATGAGCGCAGGTTTGTTCAATAAAGCGATATGTCAAAGCGGAGTATGTCTAAATGAATGGAGTTATAATATATATGCGAAACAGCGTGCGTTCCAATTAGGAAAATTATTAGGGAAGGAAACTGATGACACGACAGAATTATTGGAATTTCTAAAAAACGTTCCGGCTTCATCATTAGTTAATATTCAGTTACCGGCATTAGAAGTAGAACATAGGGATATAGCTGATAATATTCTTTTTGGGCCTGTTATTGAAAAATCTTATTTGAATGTAGAAAAGTTCATAACAGAAGCACCGCCCGACACGCTAAAAAAAGGAAATATTGCAAACGTACCCGTAATAGTAGGGTATACGTCAGGTGAGGGTATTGAAACAGCCCGGAATCTTAGTAAATTAGTAGGTTTTCTTGCAAAAGTTGGTTCTGTCGTACCAAGAGAAATCAAATTGAAAGTTAATTCTGCAGAACTCAAGGTCATAGACCAAAAAATACGCACAAAATATTTCGATAGCAAAACAATAATTACTAGCGAAACACTGCAAGATGTTGTTGATTTTCAGACCTACAGTCTGTTCGCGTATAATATTTACAGATTCGCTTCATACTGCACGGAGATTAATTCAAGTCCTGTATATTTATACAAGTTTACAGCAGAAACTGAGAGAAATTATACAAAGAAACATTACAAAATGAACAGTGTGAAAGGAGTATGTCACGCTGATGACCTTCCATATCTCTTTAACGTTACCTGTCTAAACATTCCGTTAACTGAAGATTCTAAGCCCATTATAAAGAAGATGGTTAGTTTATGGACAACTTTTGCTCGAAAAGGGTTAGTACTTATTCGATAATTAGTTACTAATGTAAGCTTCGTCCACAAATCCTAAATACCAATAGAAGTAGCATAGTGCTAACACTTTCATTCCTTCATTTACTCATTAAAAGTCCACTGCAGGCCTCCTACATAGATAGGGAGGAATTTTGCGGAAGAGAAATCCGTCGTAGGAGTTTTTTTAATAATAAATTGTATACTGCATACGACTTCGTCGCTAGCTGCTACTCGCAGGATGGGTCAAGCTTTAGGTACCTACAGCTCTTTTTAAAGTAAAAGTAGAGTAGCTCGGCGGTAGAAATGTAGGTAAGAGGCAAAGTACTTTGTGGTAAGACGGGTGTGTCAAACCCAAACAAGCTTATTATTATCATTACAGCCCTTAACTTAACTACCTCGTTGGTCTAGTGGTTGTAGTAGTGCAACTGCTGATCATGAGGTCCTGGGTTCAAAAAATCAGTTATTGAATTTTCTGTCAAGAAATTCTCAGTAGCTGCCCGGAGTCAGGAAGTTGGCGGTGTCTCACCCCCGTGCCGGAAAGCACGTTAAGCCGCTGGTCCTGCGCCTGATCTCTCTCCGGTCGTGTCGGTTTACCGTCCAATCGGATTATGAGAGTGAGGGTATAGAAAGTGCACCTGTGCTTGCGCATACACTTGGGCACTATAATCCTGTCCTGCGCCGATGGCTAGCCTCCGTTGAGGCTCGCCGCCGTGGCCGGAATTCGGTCTGGAGGACAGCCCTTTACAAGTCAATCGCTGAATATATGACCTTGTCAAGGAATTACGACACCTTTTTTTATAGGATATAGTGACAAACAAGAACACAGTCTACCTGATGGTAAGTGGTTACCGTGGTCCATAAACATATACATCTATCCTCGATTACGAATCAAAATGCAAATGTGTTGTCCCCGTGAGAACTAAGATGGAATGCTTCGTTTCCAGTAAAAAAGGTCTCCGGTTCTCTACACTCACCATACGAAACACAGCGGCATTAAGCTACTATTTTACGCTGGTATTCTGTGAGAGCGTGGTCCTTGCCCAGTCGAGCCGACCCATTCGTGCTACAACTTTAATACTAATATAACTGCGGCATGGCTCTACCGCGTATACACCTAAGCTGGAGTACATCACTCACCTTGATCATTTCGTCATCGATAAATAATGATATCTGTCATCATCAAATTATTAGCACTACGCCAATACCGTGCCGTGCCGTGGTAGCTCAGATGGTTAACGCTCGCTTTAAATATAACAGAACGCGAGTAACCCGGGTTCGATCCCCGCCGGCACCAATGAAATCGTTAATTGCAATTGTTAAGTGCTGATTTTCCACGTGCTCAGCGGTGAAGGAAAACATCGTGAGGAAACCTGCATGTCTGAGGAATAAGAAAAAAAATTATTTCGAAGACATGTGAAGTTCGCCAACACGCATTAGGGCAGCGCGGCGGACACTTCCTTGCCCTAAAACCCTCTCAGAAATGAGGGGAGGCCTGTGCCCAGCAGTGGGACGTATATAGGCTGTAACTTTACTTTTTTACTTTTAGCCAATACCCTGCCATCAATAGTAAGTATCTAGATCTAAAGATATATCTATAAAGAGAGTTCTAAAGATGACATGGACAAAATAAGACAGCCTGAACGAGCTTCTGAGTAGAAGAAGATCACTGGCAAGTAGCACTCTACTAAAATAGGCAAATACTAGGTACTAAATTATTTATTTCTTTGTATGGTGTACGCGTACTCAGCGTACCATGCAAAACATTAATTGTATACGAAATATTTTAAGTAAAAAATTTGTTGAAGGTTTAAAAAATATAAATATTAACAACTTTTCAGGAACCCCACGGAATCATTAAATATGCCAATTTGGAAGCCCTACACAAATAAGGAAAAGAGCTGTTACGTTATCGGAAAAACATTCCAAAACTCTGAAAATCTGGACGCTGGTCATATTAATTTCTGGGAAGAAATATATACGAATGTACTCGGCACTAGTTTGGAAACCAAATACCACATCTAACTATGTAGTTTGGGAAAGGAATATAATTATTTGTAGCTAACTAAAAAACTGAAGTATTTGATTTCACTGCATGTTCTTTTTCTGTATGTAGGTATGTTACGCGATATTTTCGAACAACTGTAAACCGATCATAATGATTTTTTTATTAAATAGGTTTTACTTCAGGGGCAGTTCCATCAAATTTGGATTCTACCTTCAAAAGGTGAAAAAATAGGGAACGAAATTAATGTATCTATTTATTGAATTAAAACTGTATTTACAAATATTATCGCGTTATATTAACTATACTTTAACTTATTTTAATTCCCGACGTTTCGTTTCGTTCAGTCCCCTCAGTGACCATAGGTCTGTAAAGCACCCGAAACTTCGGGAATTAAAAATAAGTTAAGGTAGTTAATTAAACACGATAAAATCCGTAAATATAGTTTTATTCAATGTGTAGTGTCCGCGTACATTTAAGAAATCATTACGTAACTATTTAGACGATATTCTAGCCTTTAGCTTGTAATATTGTCGACACAAAAGAGCCAAAAGATTAAACTTTTAATCTATATATGTACCTTCTATTTACGAGTATACAAGTTCATAATACATGAGTAAGAGGATACTCTGACTGACTCACTAATCTAACGCGCAACCCAAACCGCAAAATTATAGAAATATGTAATTTGTCCAGCAGCTGCTTTTTATAACGTAAGCATTTTAAATAATATAACCCCTGAAAGGGTGAATTAGGTGTTTTGCAGGTTGTATGTAACTTTTTATTTTACGGGGCAATTGAATCGACTGGCTCAGGCTTAATTTATTATCAAAAAATCTATAGCTCATATTTAATTGTAATTTATGAAGCTTATGCACTACTCGTATTCGAACAATTTTACAACCTCTATATATAAGTGTAATGAAATTTTAATAGTCTGCAATTTGAAGACGTAGTATGAACAAATTACCTTCACGAGCTGATGAATAAAAGAAATATTTTTTATAAACTAGTGGTTTATAAAAAATTCGACCGCATTGTAACTTTCAACTGCACATTAATTTAAAAAACACAGATATGTACCTAATCATTGACTTATATACCTATAACTTACTATACGCTAGTAATGTATGTAATAAATAAAATATAAAATAAACGCTTTCTATCTATTTATTTTAGAATGAGTGTATGTCAAGATAAATCTTGACATACACTCATATCTATTGAAAAATAATCATTTGAAATAACATATGCTTATTCAGTCAAATTGCCAGTAACTATTTGTGTACACAGGACTCCCCGTGAGTGCCGTAAGATGCGACAAAGGGAAACAAACCAGTCTTCTTATGGACGCCACACACGGTCAGTTAAAATGATCAGTTGAACTGACGTACATCCCAAAATGTGGAATCTTAAGTTTAAATTTTCAACTGATTACAACCCACGGATTTTTTCGGTCGCACTGTCAATTGAAACTGCTCAGTCGAACTGACGTAAATCCAAAAACTAATCGTGAATGCGGAATCTTTTTAACTGATGGCACTCCACGGAGTTTTCCGGGCGCGCCGTAATCCACTGGCTTCAGTTCGTTTTAATTACTGGTAAGTACCTACTTTCTTAGTAGCTACATACATTATTTATATGCGATTTAGATTTTTTATTATTTTATATATTTAGAGAATTTCGTTTGACGGAGGATGAAGACTAAGGTGACTGTGATGATGTCACCTTCCTTATGATTGACTCAGAAGATGGGTAAATCTTAGTGATGCTACGTAGAACCATCGTATTTTTTTTTCAACTCATTTTCAAAAAGTCTTATGAAAACCTAGATGACTATGATGATATCACTTAGCTGATGGTGGACTCCGAAGGTGGGTATAGGATCTCAGTGACACCACTAGATAGGACGATCGTGTTTGAACTCATTTGAAAGGGCTCATAGGCTGTTATGATCTCACCTTTCTGATGAGGTGTGTGTAGTAGCTCAGTGACGGCACTATTTTTAAATTTTTATTATTATTAATTTATGGTAGGACACTTCTAAAAAATGTATGCCCCAAAAGGGGGAGAAAACACAAGAAAAATAAAGAAAACTAAACTAAATATAGTGTACCTATATGTGTCATGTAACTTAACCCTTTATAGAGTAGAAGCAAAATTAGTATGCTGACTGTAACCACCCGGCAACGGCAATGTTGACTCTAAGGCTCGTAATTCATTATTCGTTGCATTAGTTATAGACCTTGTTGTATAAATGAGTAGTGCCTGAACGGGCGCAAGCAACAAACTAAACCACGAAAGTGAATTTAGTCACTTATCTTTGGTAAGGTGCGACATGTTGGTGGTCACGTTTGTGCCTTTGGTCTCATAAGTGTTTACGACCTGGAGAAGTAACTGTGTCTCGTATATTATTGAAAAGTAGTAAAATGTGATATGTATTTATGTTTTCCAAGGTAAGTAAAGAAATAATTTAGCTATTTTCTTTTACTCTTCGAGGTTAATATTTCCAATATGGACCATCGATTTCAAAGCCCATATTTTTTTTTGTAGATAGTACTCACTAAAAGAATGCATTTTGCAAAGTTTTAGGTTGCGGAAACTTACGGTTCATGAGATATATTTTTTTAAACTTTTCGTACAAATTGGCAAATAACCCTCAATTACACCAATTACAAAATAAATTTGACAAATGATTGATGTCAAACGTCAATTAGTGTAGGGTTCCGAATATTTTGAAAGTATCGATACGTACTTCATACCAAGTATCGTATCAAAAGTATCAATACTACTTGGTATCGAGTACATTTCGTTAATTTTGGAGACTAGGGGGGTAAGAAGCCGGGAAGTTGTGCTCCGGCGCTCCGTGGCAGCTCCGGCGCTGCGGGATAAGCAGTGCCTCCGCCCTAGCGTAGGGAACTGCTCTCACACACCTGAGCTCGGTGCCTTGCGCTTCCCTACGGCGGGCGGGCACTGCTCTCCCTCCGCGCCTCCGGGCTCTTATATACACTCTAGGGGTAGGGCAGACAAGACCACGTGGATAATGGGATGCTCTGATTCGGTTTTGAGTACTTTTTGGATATTAAATAAGTAAGTCAATAAGTAAGTAAACACTTTATTGTAGCAAGAATTAGATAATACAGAAAGTTGCAAACAATAAAATAAAAGTACAAAAGCTGTACTAATTAAGAAATACAAACAAGTTGCAAACAATGAAATACGAGTACTAAGGTGGAACTTAAATAGTGTAAACTTTATTCTACTTTATATACATATATAATTGCACTTATCAGCTCTTCCTATGCATCTAATTGGTTTGTCATAATTTTTCGTCTCCAAAATTAACGAAATGTACTCGATACCAATTGTATTGATACTTTTGATACGATACTTGGTATCGAGTAGGTATCGATACTTTCAAAATATTCGGAACCCTACACTAACTGACGTTTGACATCAATCATTTGTCAAATTTATTTTGTAATTGCGTGTTATTTACCAATTTGTATGAAAATTTAAAAAAAAATATATCTCATGAACCGTAAGTTTCCGCAACCTAAAACTTTGAACGTTTCTTTTAGTGAGTACTATCTACAAAAGAAATATGGGCTTTGAAATCGATGGTCCATATTGGAAATATTAGCCCTCTTCGATTTCAATCTATGGTGAGTTGACTTTTACCCTATTTTCTTACTTCCATCATTTCCATCCTCACTACCAGACTCACTAGTACGATACCATGTTCGCACCCCCCTTCCTTGGTAGTCCTTCCTTATCCTTGGAACGTACCTGCTCTATCCTCGAGCAGGCCGTTTACCGTATCAATACCGGGCTGAAATTACATCCTTGCACCTCTATCGTGGGTGCTCCTTGATAAGATAGATGCGCCAGTCCTTCCCCTTGACTGGTCTCATCATCACTAATCTCATTCAAACCCTTACCTCGGGTCATCCGTCCTTGCTCTTGTCCTTGAGCAAACTATCCTGGGTGCTTCTTGATTAGATAGATGCGCCAGTCCTTCCCCCTCGACTGGTCGCATCATCACTAATCTCATTCAACCCTTACCTCGGGTCAACCGTCCTTGCTCTTGTCCTGGAGCAAACTCATCATCTATAATAGCTCCGTACTATCTGAAACTTACAGGTGTAAGCTTAGAATTTGTCCAGAGATTTTCTTTTAATGTACATAGCAAATTAATTGTATAATAATAACCTGACCATTTTAAAAGTTGCACATTAAATAGTTAAGATGTGTAGGTTATTCTAGTCATATTTATTATTGGTACAGATTCATCATACTGCAATAGTTATAACAGTGACAAATTTATTTCGTTTTCATAATGTCGTTTATTATCAAACGAAACAGAGTTTCATTATCAGTATTACGTTTTCAATTTTCACGACTTATACGAAAAAAAGACGGTAGAATAATAATAAAAAAACTAATCATATAAATGGTCTAATTCCATTATTCATGAACCTTTAAAATCAACAATACAATACAGTTATACTTAGTAGGAAAATAAGTTAAATTTAACACATCTAATGTTAATAATTTAGGCAAAGAATTTTTAAACAATAAACATTTTAAATATATCCGGTTTTTATTTTATTAATAGGAACTATAAATTAGCACAAGAAATATAAAGAACCATTAATTACATTGCAGCACTTGTGCAATGTAATTAATGGTTCTAAAAATATAAAAAAATTGTAAAGTACAAATAAAGGGCGGGCCTAAAGCACTCTTAATTTTACGCCATCTGACGGTGGACACGGAACTTAACGTAAATAAAATTTGAGTTGCTCATCTATCTCTAGTACATAGTCAGTAATCCATGCTAATGCCACTCTCCATATACTAATCAACCTTTCGCACTCGTTAGCAGGGTGGGACGGCATCATTTCCGCCCCACTCTTTTACAGAAATCAAAACATTATTCTTCCGGTTAAATTATATTACTCTATCTATTATCCGTAATCATTAATGTTAACAACTAATAGTAATTATAATATAAAGT